CTCAAGGCCACTTCCGTAAAATTACAGAATTGTACCCTTGTTGGGGGCACGAGTTTGTCACAGATGCGAATGCTGCTAGCTGCCTGGGGGTCGGGGTGTAATGCACACACATCCGGAGAATGCAACACATGGCGCAACTTAGTAGTCTTCAGGATCTCATGCATATGCACAATTCTGATGAAGTTTCCAAAGGTGTCACGGGAATGAGCAGTATATCGTTGTCGGACGTGTTGAAATCGCCGAATAAGGCATTCAAGTTCACGGACGTCCGCAGTCATGTCTGCATTAGAAACATTATATACAGCCATTGCAGCAGGCGAGCTCGCCAAGCGGGCGTAGCCTGCTGAATGGAAGCAACAACTTCGGACCAAGAACCCGCTGCGCCTAATGTCAATAACCGCCGTAACGTTGTTCGTACTGCTAGTTGAGGGCCCGGGCTAATATCAATGGTGAAGGCCCGAGAGGAGACGCCAGTTGGAGATGGGTGAGGAGAAATATATCACGCACCATGTTTCTCTGCACGGACAACGAACGCACGAGACGCCCATAGCACGCCCACCACTACCATAGCATGAGCATAGCACGCCCACCGCTACCATAGCACGCCCACCGCTACCATAGCACGCCCACCACTACCATAGCACGCGCATAGCACGCCCACCACTACCATAGCACGCCCACCACTACCATAGCACGCGCATAGCACTCGCACGCACATCACTACCATCACGCCTTTAGCACGCCCATAGCACGCCCATCACTACCATCTTCCCCTGAAGATAAGGTAATGGTAATGATAGCAAGCTTCGTGTGTGGTTGCACCAAACTATTCTTAGAAACCATTTTTTTCACGGAAGAGGAAGTGGAGTGGACAGACAAACCACCCCTGACTTCTCAACTGGAGGAGGAAATGGAGTTGAAAGGGCAGGAAGACGGAGCGGGAGGAGGGGTGGAGGAAGGGGGGGGGGGGGTAAGAAAGAAAAAAGCCCTAATGCTTGTTCTTCGCATGACTCCTACCCGGTGTCGAGCCTCTTCTTCGTCTAACCCTCCTTGTCGTAATGCTTGCCCTACTTCTTCTTCTTCTTCTTCTTCTTACTCTTCTTCTTCTAATGCTTGCCCTTCTTCTTCTTCTTCTAATTTCTTCTTCTAATTCTTGCTCTTCTTCTTCTTCTTCTGGGGTGGGGTTAAGTACTCATCTTGGGGCTTAACTTTCACCCACCCCAGTCCACTTAGCCGTTTGGTTGAGTGTTTACCTCTTAACGTGGAGGTCACGTGTTCGATCCTTGGATCGGTGCGGACGGACAGAGTGTTGTCTGGAGTGAGAATGCAATTCTTCTTCTTCTTCTAATTTCTTCGTCTAATATTTGCTCTTCCTCTTCTTCTTCTTCTTCGAGCTTGTTATGTCTGTGCAGGAGCTTGAAGTTTCATATCTTTCCATGCGTAGACGCTGAGCGATTGGCCTCGCTTATTCAAATTCAAATTATTCAAATTCTTCTTCTTCTTCTTCTTCTTCTTCTTCTTCTTCTTCTTCTAATTCTAATTCCAATTCTTTTTCTTCTAATTCTCCTTCTTCCCCTCTGTAGTTCCCAGTATCTACTTTCACTTCGATCGAGTAATGGCTCTTTTTTTACATGTTTTCTCGTACTCCCCATCCAACACCCCTTCTCCTTTCCCTACTCTCTCTTTCCCCTACTTTCTCTCTTTGCCGTACTTTCTCTCTTTCCCGTACTTTCTCTCTATCCTGTACTTTCTCTCTTCCCCCTTATCATCATCGTCATCATCGTCATCTTTTTTTCTTTTTTTTTTATCACGATCATTCCTTTGCATTCCGCTTCGTCCTTTTCGTCTTCTCTTTCTTTTCCTCCTCGTCCTACCTCCCCGGCAAAAACTTCAGCCTTCATTTTCACGCCATCGCCATCGCGACCACCATCGTCACCATCATCATCATCATCATCATCATCTTCTGCTTACTCTCCTTTGTTTCCCTGCTCTTCCCCTCTTCCCTCCTTGTTTCCTCCTCCTCCTCCTCCTCCTCCTCCTCCTTTGTCCATCCTCGCTTCTGCGCCCCCCCCCCAACTCCAAAACCCCGCCGATCCGTCTATAATTCCTCATAACTACCCTAATTTGCATCTACTTGATTTTCGATTTTCTGATCACTCTCGTCCTCCATTGCTTTCGTTTGTTCGCTCCTTTGCTTTCTTCTTACTCCTCCATCACTGCCCTCACTCACTTCCACCTCACTCTCCTCCTCCTCCTCCTCCTCCTCCTCCTCCTCCTGCTGCTGCTGCTGCTGTTGCATGTACTTGCTTTCTTCTTCGCTTGCTTCTTCCTCCTGTGGTTGTCCTCGCCGTCTTCTTCACCCCCTTGTCCGTCTCATCAGAGACCACCGCTCATCTTCTGTGCCACGCCCCGACGGAGAGATGCCAACTCGACGCCCCCGCTCCTCCTCACTGCTTCTGCCAATCATCGTGAAAGAGAGGCGGCATCCACGTGGCATCCACGTGGTACTTAATCGTCGTACTAGCGTGCGGCTTGACACAGACCCAGCCGCTGTGAAGATCATCACACTTTGCTTGTTTTTTTTTTAACTTCTACATCAAAGAGGATCAGAGCCGACTCTTGGATAAGTAATTGAATTAGTAATTCGACTCTTGGTTAAATAATTGAATTAATTCCTCTTGGTTAAATAATTGAATTAGTAATTCGACTCTTGGTTAAATAATTGGATTAGTAATTCGACTCTTGGTTAAATAATTGAATTAATTCCTCTTGGTTAAATAATTGATCTTGAATGAATTGTTCAATTATTTAACCAAGAGGCGAATTAATTCAATGATTTAATTCAATTATTTAACAAGGAGTCGAATTAATTCAATTATTCAATTATTTAACCAAGAGTTGAATTCATTCTATTATTATTCAATTATTTAACCAAGAGTTGAATTAATGCAATTATTATTCACTTACTTAACCAAGAGTCGAATTAATTCAATTATTATTCAATTATTATTCAATTATTTTAATTTATTTATTTATAATTTATTTAACCAAGAGTCGTCTCTCATCCTCTGAGAATTGAAAAAAAAAATAGACGAGAATTCTTTTTTCTCCCAATAACACAAAAATAGTCCAAGTCAGTCTTTTCTCAGCGTATCTTGCCATCAACCGGACCGGATCAATTGAATAATGAAACAAATTACCGAAAGATTGATGCTTTATATGATTGATTGATTGATTGATTATTGATTGATTGATTGATTGATTATTAACGATTGACATCAGCTCTTGATTGATTGATTGGCCGATCGAGTCCATTGATTAATTTACGACCTCCAGTTTCCCGGCTGATTGATTGATTGATAAATCATGAACGATTGACATCAGTTCTTGATTGATTGATTGGCCGATCGAGTCCAATGATTAATTTACGACCTGCAGTTGCCCCCGGCTGGTATGCAGAGTCGTTGCTCGCCGCTAATAATCATCACTCATCGCTCATCAATCATCATCCAAATCATCATCCAATCATCATCCAATCATCCAATCAACAATCAACAATAATTAACCTGCTGCTCTAAGCACGTCCTTTTCGCAAAATCAATCCACGAATAATCCTCACCACAAGTCGACGGTTCATTTTCTCGGTGATTGCGTGCCGATTCTGATTATTAAATCCAACGGTTCTCCGCTGATTGGTTGGAAACCTGTCTCTTATACACATCTAGATGTGTATAAGAGACAGGAGCTCAAGTGCATCTGGGTCCATTGCCCAGTATCAGTGTGGGCCTGAAACCCGGGGACAAATTAGCCCCCTGTCCAGTGACTAAGCCCCCTGTTCTTCTAAACAGCATCTAGTTCCTACCCCTCATCCCTAGCTATGGATGTTTATGAACATGGACAAATGAAAAAAAAAAACGAAAAAAAGGAAAAAAGGAAAAAAAGGAAAAAAAGGAAAAAAGAAGGAAAAAAAGGAAAAAAAGAAAAAAAGAAGGAAAAAAAGAAAGAAATGCACCGTAGCCTCCTCGCCTAATCGGCGGAATGAATAGCAGGCTACCCTATATTTAAATTTAATTTATTCCCCTACTTTAAATTTTTTTTCCTTATTAATTTAATTCATTACCTATATCTCTCTTCACTCGACTCGACCCTTTTCTTTCGTGTTCAATTCTATATGAATAAATATCTCATTTGCTAGTAGTAATTGTCAAGGGATATATCTATATATCTAGATATCTATATAAATATACATATCGTCATATAGTACATACACATGTATGTGTATGTATACTCAGGGAAAAGCAGGTTCTACCGGGTTGAATTGTGCGGACTCCGACCCCGTATATCGAACGGAGTAATATGAAAAATTCCATTATTAAAAAAAATATAAAAAAAAGCAGGTTCTTTATTTTTAAGATTTGAAAAGCAAAAAGCAAAAAGCAAAAGAAGGGATACAGCGGGCAATGCTCCTCTGCTTCACGATGCTTGAGAGGTGGCGGGGGGCTTGGGGGGCGAGAAATCCTAAAAATGAAACACAACCATCATTCCAGGGGGGGATTGGACACGAGGAAGAGGAGGGGGGGGAGGGAGGGGGGGGGGGGGAAAGGAAGGAAATTGAGTCAATAAAAGCGTATCTTGCTCGTCGAATGCGACGAGAGCATGAACAGAAGTTGAAAAAATAAGTAGTAATAAGATAGGGCAAAGTAAAAGAGGCAACTCTCAGTACGTATCTAACCGATTTTGCAGTCAAATTCATCCCAAAACATCGTAGTTTTTAGCCTCCTTCTTCAAACCCCACCATGATCGCACCGAAGTATAACCCCTGTCCCTTTTTCCCATCCCTTATCCTATCCCAATCTTTCTGATTGTAAAAATCCAAAAAAACAAAACAAAAAAGAAAAAGAAAAAAATTGACAAAAGAGCCATCGAAAAATCACTCTCGAGACTTGTACAAAAGGGGAAAAAAAAATCCCGAAAAAAAAAAAGGAAAAAAGAAACTCACTCTCAAGTCAAAAATCTGACTATGTTTTTTTCTTCTTTTTTTTTATTACTACTCTCTACAAGAGTCGCGGCGCGTTGCTAGAGGAGACGACTTCGTTATTACTAATATATATCATATATCAGTTAATTCTATATTAATTAATTATATGTTAATTAAAGAGATGGAAGTAGTTCATTTGGTGAAGGGCAAAAAACGATACTACTAATTAAAAAAAAAAAAGAAGAAGAAGAAGACGGCAGAAGTGCAGCAGGCTTTCATAAGTGTACAAGAATTTGTTTTTTTAAAAAAAGGAAAAAAAGAAGAAAAAAAAAAGAAAAAAAAACGTGTCCAAGTACATTACATGATTATATTGGGTTCTTCGAGAAATGGGAACAGTCTGGCCGGGGGCGTAATTCGCTGCAGAACGAAGAGGCATAGTCAACACCAGAGCCAACAGCAAGAGCTGTGAGGTTTCGAGCCCGCGACCACGTGGCCGATGACGAATGACGCCCGACATTGCTGCCATGATGATCTGAGGAGAGCCGAATAACGACAAAAAGATTCCACGTCAGTCGGCAGAGAAGGGTGGTTGGATGGATGTGGCCTTCTTCGGAGCCACGCCGGACGAAAACGACAAAAAGCTTCCACGTCAGCCGGCACAGTCAGCAACAGCGTCGGTGAGTCGCCGGCCTCGCACGGCTCGCACGCGCCGATGACCACGCGTGCGTCCCACTCGCTCGCACGGGTCACTTGCGCTGTGCTTGCTGCGCCCTCTGAGGGAGGGCATGCCTATTCCAGCAGAAGGGGCGGACAAGAACCCCTATTCCTGACTTCGTAGGGCATAAAACACTCGTGTCTGTTTGGCGTTAAGACCACAACGACGGCGGACCCTAATTGCCGAACCTTTTTTTTTTTGGCGCCCGAATGAATGGAACCGGTCCCTGCCACGCCGGTGCATTGAAATGCGGCGTGCTTCTATATATAGGCAGGTATGGCCGCAAGTTTCGTCGTCGGAGGGGCTCGTACTGGTGGTATATTTCGCAACTCATCTGCTTCCGGCAGAGTTCGAACTCGGGTCTGTATTTCAACAGTTCAGGTGTGTATTAAGTGAGGTAGGCCAGTTGGTTCGTACTGGTGGTATAGAGACCTGTGCTGAGAAACTCCGGTTCCAGTTTGACGTTCCAGCTGCTCGAATGGCCCGTCTGGATAGAGGGGGAGTCGATCGTTGGCACTAAATTTAGCGCTCGCTTTCCGCTCCGCTACTGATAGTGCTGCTACCCAGGGCCTACCAGTAACACACTTTCACCACGGGAGCTTGCGGTACGTGTTGTCGCCTTCACTGCGGTACACATGGTGGCGTGGAACGCAGCAGCATGGGGAGCCATAACTTTTCTCATTTTCAGGTCTTACCATGGAGACAGAGCAAGTAAATGCGTGTTCATCGTCACAGCTGAAGCTAGACAACAAGAGATTGACTATGGGTGAAGATGGGCGTGCACCATCGTGAGCAAAGTAAATAGGGACTGCTGAGAGTTCATTGTTACCTGAAATAACTATTAAGAGTAGGTTAGGTAGTGCTTCATAATACCTTTTTAGCAAGTATGGAACTTTTTACCAGGGGTTCACATTGTATATTGTTCTTTTGGTTGTTACAATAAAGCAAGTGTGGGACAACGCTTAGAGCAAATGAGTAAATCCGGTGCAGGGAAGGTACTTAGAGGTCCGGATCTTTCTCTCCTCTGGGTTTTACGCTTGAAGAAACAAGGCATCTGTTCGCTATCATATCGTGGAACCTTTCTTGCATTGTACCAACACTAGCTTTTACACTAACGCATACGCTGATACTCGGTTATTATGAGGTTTCCGATTTCACAATCTGGGTTGCTTCTCCTTACCACGTAGCTTAGTTTTGTCGCAGCAATGGCAGCAGCAGAGCACGTGGAGGTAGTCATGGAATAAGGAACCTCAGATGGGGGCATATCCCCCCCTCTTGGGCCATAAACACTGAAATTTTTGGAGCCAAGGGTGAGAGAGTTAAACTTTGACATCAACAGGATCAAAGTAAGTTGGCTTAAGGAGCTTACGGTTGTGATTATCTATAAAGATGTTGCTAAGTATCTCCCGAGGAAAGTGAAAGCGGACTAAGTAAGAGCAAATAATGGTTGGTCCAGAGATCCGGTCTTCAACCCTCTAGCGCCTCAACGATTAGCCATGGTACAGTTAGTTGCAAGAGAAAAGTCAATCTTTGATAACATAGTGATAGCCATAGAGTCTCTGGAGCCAAAAAACTTCTTCAATCTTTCACCCTTATCACCCTACGTCCTTTACTCCTCCAAGTTACAATACAAGGCAAAACCTTAATCCAACCTCACCCTAAAACATGCCAACATTGCTCCTGACACCTAAAATATGTATAACTTTAAGTTAGTAGTAGTTGCCTACTATGTGAACTAGTAGTAACGTCGACATCTTCTAGTGAATAACTTTATTGCAAAACGTTCCTTTGTAACCAGCCATTATTTATTTATTTTTGCTCTCCATTTTGAGAAAAAATAACGATAGATTGAATGTTGATATATATATATATATATGTCATTTGACGAACAATTATTTTTAGATGTTTGTCAAGTGACTATCGATATAACTTATCCAATTTTTACATTTAGGTGGTTTGTTGTCCATGCACTTGCTGTCCTTAGATTGGTCAGTTCGATGGGAAAAGAGAGGAGATTGTCTAGCTCGATATATAATTCGTGTTGGAGAAATGAGAGAATCAATAAAAATAATTCAACAAGCTTTAAAAGCAATTCCTGGAGGACCATATGAAAATCTAGAATCACGTAAGCAAGTTTCAAAGAAACTAAAAGTTTCAATTCCAAATATCGCATGCAACAATCTTCCTTCTGAAAGACGTAAGGATTCTCCCAGTTTTTACCCAAAAACATCAAGATCTTTATTATATGTACTCATCAGATATATATATATATATATATATATAAATAAATAAAGACAGGGTAACCGGCGTTCGGGACGGGCCGAACGCCTGAACCCGAACGCCCGAACCCGAACGCCCGAACGTATGGGACCCCTTGAGGATGTGTTCGGTCGTTCGGGCCGAACGTGGACCCAAAAAAAAAAAAAAAAAAAAAAAAAAAAACGTCATTAAAAAAATCTGAAAACAAGATATGTTATGGAGAAAAATAAATTAAACAAGATTTGCCTGAGCATTACATCCGAATTCCTTACCAAATTTGAAATAAAAATAAAATACGGAAAACAAATACTAATAATAAAAATAAATAAAAATAAAAAGAGAATTAAATTTAGTGAGTGCGCGAGCATGTTTTCRACACCSGCCATCTTTGGCAATTTTTCATTTTTTTTTGGCATAGCTAAATGCCCTGAAAATTTACAGATGTGTACTTCACATAATACAAAACCCACTTAAAAAGTTTCAAAAAATAATAAAATTGTTTAGACCACGAACTAAAGTGAAAACAAAAAGTAAAAAGTGAACAAATACGTGGGCGAGCACGTTTTAACACCGCCATCTTTGGCGATGATTAATTCTTATTTGGCTTAGCTAAATGACTTGAAATTTACAGGCATGTACTTCACGTCATAGAGAACTCACAAACAGAAATTCAGAAAAACATAATTATTTTTAGGCCCCGAAATAATTTTTGGCGGGGGCCGAACGCCGTCAGGTTTGGACCCCGTACGAGACCCCGAACGCCCGTGCGTACAGAGGTCTGCCCGGGGACCTCCGTACGTATGGGCTGGTGACCCTGAATGAAGAGGTAACTTCAAAAGAGTCACAAAATCGAGTTATAATTGCACTACGGGCTAAGATACAGTTTGAAATTGCACTTCAAGCAGCCCACCCGACCAGAAAACTAGGTTGTATACATTGTCCGAACTGCAATTCGAAACTGTATCGTGGCCGATAATGCAATTATAACTCAATTTTATCACTCTCGCGTAGTTTCCCCTAAAAATATATATATTTTTTTTACTGTACAAAACATTCAATGAACTACTAAATTTGAAAAACTTTTTATAATATAAAATAATCAAAGAAAAAATAACAAATTTAATGTATCCCTTCGTGCTATTGACGAACTACATATTTTTTATTCGGACTAAATTAAAAAAGTGGTCAATTTGTCTAAATAACCTAAGGGGCAATAATAGTTTGAAACTTATTGACAATCATTTCTTTATAGAAAATATGATTACCTCATTGCCCTCTTTATCACAGTTATATTCTTTACTCAAGCGTTTTTTTTACATAATCTTTGTACATTTTTTTAAAACCTCGTTAGTATCTCTTAGTCAATCAATTTTTTTTTTTTTTGAAGAGCTGCAAACGTTGTCTAACATCATATTTTTATAAGAATTGTGAGAATTTCAACCAATAAGAAGGAGATTGTAGAATCGTTCATGTGCATCGTACATTGTAACAATAGCAATTTTATATAACTATCAATAATTTTACGTACTATTTGTTTTGAGTTATGACGATAGAGATATGTTATTTTTTATAATTAAACTTTTCTGTTGTTTAACTATCAGTTATATTATACTACATCTCTGGTTATCTTGGCTACGAGAGTGACCCGGGTCCACTTACCTGGCCGGGCTACAAGGGAAAAAAAAAAAAAAGTTTTTAATTTAAGTTTTTATTTTAAATTTGGTAAAGCATTTCGATGTGAACCTGAAACAAAAGTTGTTTAGTTTATTTTTTTACATAACATAGTTTTTTTTTAGATTTTTTGGATTTTTTTTTTTTTTTTTTTGGTCGGGACCTTCCCTGGTCCTTGCAGTGCTTGCACAGCCGGGCCGCCTGAGAAAATAGGGTGACTCGGGCGGCCTGGTTGGTTGCCTAGCTGGTTATTAAAAAAAAAAAAAACATCATTTTCACACGATTAATCTTTTATGAAAGGAGAAAATTACTATCTCATCTTTCCTTAAATTAATATTATTGTTTATAAATATTGTGTCAGCATGTTCCTCTTTTAAAACACTGGTATATCACCCTAGGCAAGTTGAGACAAAATTTAGCTCAATTCAAAACATTTGGAGGCTTAGTGCAACCTAACTAAAATGTATGGCGACGACAACTAAAATAAAAATAAAATTATCGCGTTGGCGTTTCAACAGAGTTTGGCATAAGGATAGTTTGTCTGTATAAATGAAACTTTGATGAAGTGGTGGTTAATACAAAACTTGAACAAAAAAGGAGGATACGATAATAAACCAATAAAATATTGAAGAGTGTTTCATAATTTTATTTTTATAACAATCTTACTTTTGATATCACCTTATGACTGATGTTGTTGTGCTCTATTTTATTTTTGTGTTCAGTTATTGGATATTACTTCGTTTTCATTACTTCACATGATTTGTCTTTTTTTTTAAATCATAATCTGCTATTTATTTAAATCATTCATCCTTCTTGTTACATTTTGTTTTTCCGTCTACTTGAACTATCACGTTATGTTATGATATTTCTTACGTTTTTCTGTAGAACTTTGATAATTCATTTACCTTTTTGACCTTTTTTTTTTTTTTTTTTTTTTTTTACTTTTTTTTTTTTTTTTTTTTTTTTTTTTTTTTTTTTTTTTTTTTTTTTTTTTTTTACCTTTCATTTATTTTTTATTGTCCTTGCTACTCTGAAACTATTTTTTTCCCGTTGTTACTTCCTTGCTTCTTTTTTTAAAAGTAAAACACACACACACATAGGTCTGTCTTATCTATTCAGAGGGGCACCACTCCGGTTGTTTATCATCAACAAGCATTATATGTCAAACCCAAGAT